GAGGGGGGGCAGCAGTGGCAGCCCACATAATCGGTTAGCCAGGCTTTTACATCCCTGATGTCGAGATGTGTGACTGTACTAATCTCCCTGCTAGATGCGAGTTCCCCAACTTTGGGCCAGTGTTCTGAAAGTGGCTTGTGAGTCTTGTCCGTGTGGCTGACACTTGAATTGTTCCAGGTGATGATAGCTGTCACAGGCCGACACGATTGTGTGGAACAACCTTGTGGAGGGCTTGGATTATTAGGATGAAAATGCTTGAATTTTACACCATATTAGGTGGGGAGCTAGTGCAGACAGTGGAGCGGCAGGGTCAGGGGCTTTTGGTGTTCTGTGTTGTTGAATAGGCAGCTGCTCTTCTGAACCAGTTGGAGCTTTTTGGAGTCAGCAGCTTCTTCCCAAGATATAAAGTGTTGCAATAATCAACCCTTGAAGTCACCAATGTGTGACTTAGAGTGGCAGAGTCACTGAGGACTGGCTGTTGGCTTCTTGCTAACTTTAGGTAAGAGGGTAACTTACTTGTTATAGCTTTGGGGGAACTGGGTAGCAACGAGGACTCCAGATGGGCCCTTGAACTGTACCATCTCATTGAATGGAAGGCAGAAGTCCATGATGGAGGACAGATACTATGGAGGTGGCGAGTTCTTCCGAGCATTTACCTTAGCGTCGCCCAGGTGTTCTGTATCCAACTGATGATGACTCTTGAGAGCTGGGAGATTGGGCAGCTTGTGTTTTATAGAACGGAACGTAGAGTGGAGAATCTGTCACATATTGCTAGCATTTCAGTCAGTTCTTTGCATGATTTTTCTTTTGGCTTCATGTAAATGTTTGGCTGTCCGTAGAACTTCATAGGTAAAGAAGTTGCCCATAAAACCTTCTGGTTCTTTTTTAAAAATTCTCCTTTTTCATAACCTGAAAGGATTTGAAGTGCCCTGCACTGAGAAATTTGTTTCTCTTCTTTGTTCTCCTTATTTAGGATGCAGCAAGTGACATCTTGGAAATTCTGTTTGCATATCTGCCTCAAACTTCATCAGACGATCTGTGTGAAAGCAAAAGAGTTAAAATATTACACGTTACCTGCTACTACCGCTGAGATCATTTCAAGGATTGCCAGACTGGAACTGTTGGATGTGAGTAGTAGATACGTAATAATGTGTGGGGTTTTTTAGAATAGATGTGGGGTGGTAACTATTTATTGTATTGCTTTCTAAAACGCATTTTGATTGATATAAATTGTCTCTACAAAAAACAAACAAACACAGACCTGCAATAAAACTGTACTTTCCAGAATAACACAAAGCCATGTAATTACTTCGATTCTTCTGACCCTTTTAAAATAGTACCTGTTCTTCTGAGGCCCCTCTGCATTATATGTTTATAAAGTATAAATTATTATACTTAGGGCCCTGGGCATGCGGGGCTGGGGGAAGGCAAAAATGACAAATACGTCACTCAGGACTGCCATGCTGGCTGGTTGCTCCAACCTGCAGGGCCTCCCAAGTGCTGGGCCTGGCGTAGTTGCTTCGGTTTACCATACCCTAGGGGCAGCTCTGTAGGACCTAGATTTATAATTCTGTAACCTTTTTCTCTAAAAAAAAATCACTTCGTAAACTGCTTCGTGGTCCATATATGGATCAAAAGACAGTTTATTTATCTATCTTCTGATAGGGAAAAACCGATATTAGCCCTATGCTGAACAAAAATTCCTTTGCCATAGGAATCAAATGGTAGTTACTCCAGGTTAATTAAAACTCCTGGGGTCAAATAAGAACCTCTTAGAACTCAGTTGAGGCAATTAGGTTAATTAAAGTAATCTTGGAGGTAATCTAGAACCAACTGACACAGTTAGATTTGATTGGGACACCAGGAGCCAATCAAGGACTGGATGGAACTGGTTAAAAAACTCCTCTTTAGTCAGATTAGTGGTGCACCAGGAGTGGTGGGAGAAGGATGTGTTGCTAGAGAGCAGGAGCTGTAGAGACTCTGGCAGGTACCAAGAGGGAGCCCCGCAGGTATAGAAGCAAGAGGCAGGGAGAGTCCTGTCTGGGGGAACAGCTCCTTTGAGCCCCAGAAGTCTGAGGGTTGTAAACCTCTGCTATAGGGAGATAAACTGAGATAAGAAATCTAATCCGTTGCCTCCACATCCAGAGAGGCCTCTAGAGATTAAAACTAGGTTTACACAACAGGGGAAGGTCAAATTAAGATTCACAACTCAAGCTCCATTAAATGCATAGCTGGAGTCGGCATACCTTAATTCGAGTTTCCCAGTGGTCTCCACAGTGGGAGATTGACAGGAGCGAACGCTCCTGTTGACTTCCCTAACTCCTCTTAAGGAGCAACGGGGGCGCCCTCTGAATTTGATTTAGCGGGTCTTTACTAGATCTGCTAAATCAAACTCTGATGCTGCCACAGTTAATCTTCCAATCTTCCATGTAGTGAAGACACAGCCTAAGATTTTTCCCCCTCCCTTTTCCACCTGCTATGCCAATGATGAGAGTGGCTAAATCAGACTATGGATTTGCCCTTAAGTAAAGGGGTTAGACTGAGAACTGTGGTGAGCCAGTGAGGCAAGCAATGGTTTGCTGTTTTCCCCAGACAGGGGGAGCGAATATTCAGTCTATTGCTACCTAGAAACCCACTGTGTGAAATTAGGAGCGTTGTCACTATAAATGTTTATGAATCTTGGATTCTGTCTCCCATCTAGTTAGGGGCACTGCAGGGGTAGTCTCATAGTGTGATTTCCTTTCATTTTTTTCTTCCCATCCCATAGAATAGAACACTAGACCTGGAAGGGACCTAGAGAGGTCATCGAGTCTAATCCCCTGCCCTCACAGCACGACCAAGGAGGTCCATCAGTGACTATCCAGCTCTTTTCTGAATCCTGTTAAAGTCCTGGCCTTCACCACATCCTCTGGCAAGGAGTTCCACAGGTTGACTGTGCTGAGTGAAGAAAAACTTCTTTTTGTTTGTTTTAAGCCTGCTGGCTATTAATTGCATTTGGTGACCCCTAGTTCTTATATTGTGGGAATAAGGAAGTTATTTCCTTATTCATGTTTTCCAGTCATGATTTTATAGACCTCTATTCTATCCCCTTTTAGTCTCCTCTTTTCTAAATTGAAAAGTCCAAGTCTTTTTAATCTCTCTTCATATGGGACCCCTTCAAACCCTAATCACTTTTGTTGCCCTTTTCTGAGCCTTTTCCAATGCCAAGGTGGAAAAGATGAGACAATCACATCTGTATGCAGTATTTAAGATGTGAGTGTACCATGGTTTTATATAGAGCGGTGTTTCTTAAACTTTTTAAGACTGAGGAACACGAAACAACTTGACAGTATTTCAACATTATATCAATATTAACTGCCTGCTGTATAGATGCGGATTAAGCTATTTTGAAATAATGTTGCTGTGTAGACGTACCCTCTGTCTTCAGTTTTCCAAACTAAACAAGCCCAATTCTTTTAGTCTTCCCTCCTAGCTCATGTTTTCTAGACCTTTCATCATTCTTGTTGCTCTTCTCTCTTGTTGCTCTGTTCACACAATCTATCCATCCTCCTGCCTTTAACATCTGCATTTCCACCTAATCAGCACAGAGTAGAGTGGAAGAATGACTTCTCATGTCTTGCTCACAACACACCTGTTAATACATCCCAGAATCATGTTTGCTTTTTTTGCAGCAGTATCACACTGTTGACTCATGTTTAATCTGTGGTCCACTATAACCCCTAGATCCCATTCTGCAGTACTTCTTCCTAGACAGTTGCTTCCCATTCTGTGTGTGTAACACAGATTGTTCCTTGCTAAGTGGAGTACCATACTGCCACCTAAGTTCCGTGGGACCCAGGAAGGAGACCAGTGAGCGCTCTCCAATGTGGATCTTCTCTTTTGTACCGCACAAGCGACGGGGTTTTGTACTTGGGGTGGTGTTTTGAAGTGTGTTCTGTTTAAATCGGTGGGATACTGCTCTGCTGCTTAGAACAGTTTTTTTTTCTTTCCTGTGTAACAGGGTTCAAGAGATGAAACGACGCAGAAGACTCCAGTGATAGAAATGTTCCAGAGAGCTCTGTCAGACACCAGAAGCTGGTTTCGGGGGGTCCTGAAGCAGTATTTACTGCAGGGACATACTGATTCCATTGTGACATTCCGTTTTCCTGATGAACTTATGGTTTGTGTTCTTGAATGTAGCGCTTTGGTACATCCCTTCTTGGGTAATGCTGGGATACATTGGTTAGTTACGCTGACTTTTTGGTAGGTGTAACTGTTGCATCATCTAGGATATAGAGCAGTAAGCATCCAAGCCTTTCAGCCTGAAGGTGGAAGGTATGTTAAATGTCAAAGGTCCCCAACCAGTACATTGGGCCAGATTCTCTGCTTTGGTGTTCTCTGTTAGGGTATGGCTAAAAGGCAGGGATTTTTCAGGATAGAAGTATCCCAAAAAAACTCCACCATGTCCAGGGAGCACGTTTGCTCTTCCTCAAAGAAAAAAAAAAAGCAGAAGAG